CACTGCGGTGGACTGACCTGATAGCATACTGGAGGTCAAGATCGAGGAAAAAGTTTTCATTACTCTGTTTTTTTATACTTTTTCTCTCCAAAATAAGCCACTGCTTACTGTAGTATTGAGGATGGTATGTGCGATGTGAAATGCATGGCCAGTTAGAGTTGAGGTTAAAATACTATAAAGGAGATTAAATGTACCTAGCTTAAGAAACACTGTAAGTAAATATAAAAAGGTCGATCATAAACAGGAAATTTGGCACGTCTTTTAAAGAACAGGTGTCATTATTAACTATACCCAATCATCACCCCCAACCACGATCATATGGTTATTAGAAATTTACTTCACAAACTAGCAAGTCAATCAAATGGCATATGATTAGTTATTCACCAAATTCACACCTATGTTATCACAATTGTGTTATCATATAGTAATGACAATGGGGATAGGCAACCAATAACCTACCAATGCATTCATAGCTCCAGCTTTCTTGTGATGTTGGAATCCTGGACGCTTCTCACGAGAAACATAAACCAGGCGAGGAAGCTCATTTCCATCTGTATCAAGACCCCCACTGTGCCCTAGAAAAACCTACAATCCATAAGTGAGTTAATTGTTAAAATAGAGGCATAAACTTGGATACTTCAAAACTCAAAAGACAACTACATCACCTGGATCATTCCCGGATGATCACGAGGGTTGTTTCCAGGCCAAGCGGTTCCGTCTTGCATTGTCCATCCTTCTTCAGGCATCTTTTGAGCCTTGGCAACAAGCGCATTGATACGTACCTTAAACTCTTCATATTCTCTCTGCAGAATAATTTTTAACACATACAATTACCCACAATTTACTATATTTGTCTGCCACATATGTACTATATTTTTCTTTCCTGAATTGCTCAATGTCTGCGTCACAATGGATAATCTACGAATATGGGATTTTTATGTTACAAAGTGGTGTTACATGTGTAGGAGGGATTGGAAAACGATTGACCACTTATCCCTTCATTGTGACTGTGCTCATTTATCGTGGAACGATATTCTAGCTTCTCAACACATGGATTGAGTGTTGTAGCGGAGTATGGAAGATGTGTTGAAAGCATGGGGGAGAAAGTTTTGTAATAAAGACATTAAGTTTGTTTGGGATCTTATTTCGAGTTGCATTGTATAGTGTGTGTGGAGAGAGAAACACAAATAACTGAACAAATTAGAGAATTTTTTTATTTGACATTATATACTAAGTTTAATTTTGCGGCTACTATTCATATAGAAGGGCTACCCAATTTATTTAAATTGATAATATATTTTCTATGTATTATCCTTTGATTAATAAAATATTTAATTACCTATCAAAAATATAAATTAGCAAGTAGTTTATCTCCCTTGAAAAGGGAATGGATGGTTAATTCAGGAGATCCAAAAAATTAAATAGAAAAATCCTTTTGTTTTCATATTTCCTACAGGTACTGTTGTAAGTTACCTTCATTGCTCGCCGTTCTTTCACAAAGGAAGGCTGAATCTTGTCCTTAAGGTAATCAATCTTCTGAGCAAAATAGAATTCAGGGGCCCTTGGCTCAATGCTGTGCTTCTTGCAGAAAGGCACCCATTTCCTAGCAAACTCTGCAGTTTCAGAAAGGGCTTCAAAGGTTAGCATTGCTGAACCATCATCTGACACGTAACAGGAGACTTTGTCGACAGGGTAATCCACAGAAAGGATGGACAGCACGGTATTGGCAGTAATAAGAGGAGGTTCTTTCATGGGGTCCACTGTACTGACAAATATGTCGACAGGGGCTAACTGGGATGGCTCACCCTCCCTGTCATATCTGAAGGGAAAAAAAAAAACAAAAAGACAAAAGAAAAAAGGCAAGGCGTCATTTAGTACTCATGGTATTTATTCAAACTTCCATACAAGGGCATTTAACTTTAACAATCATGTGACAATCAAAAACCTTAATGCGAGTCTGTCCAAGTACGTCTCACGATTGACAGGGTACCACTTTGGAAACTGATCCAGAAGCCATGAAAGAGCAAACCAAACCTCACAGATAACTGATGTCAGCCACAAAGGATAAGCATCTTTTACAGGATGAGTACAACGGTATTGCAAGAAGAAGCCCAAGATTATCAACCGAAGAACTATTACAACACGATACGGGGTAAGATGAGTAGAAGAAATAGGCACAACACGACTCATGGGTTGGCGAGCATCATCAGCCCTGTCAGAGAAACAAACTATTAGCAGTCCAGAAGGATGTAAAGATCAAAGTTGCATGTTGTGAAACTACATGAATGGTCACCCTTCTTGAATTAATTAATGCACCAACAGAAAGGCAGACTTAAACTAATTATCCAAATGTTCAAACAGAAATAGTAGCTGAGAAGTGCCCTGAAGTGAACTGAATAATCCCCAACAGTTTGATATTTATCCTGCATACACCCAAGAAAAAATAAAGAGAGAAAAGATTCTTACATTTGTAATTCTTCTCCATTTGACCCTGTGCCTTCAATATCTCCTTTCCCTTCACTGTATCTGTTGTTCACTTGCACCATATTTTTCTCCTGTTTTAGTTTCCAACCTTCCACTCTCTCCTTCCAGTCGACATTTCCAAGTCCATAAGAATTCAAGTCTTTTGAAGGGTCCACAATTCTCACAGGAACTGAACCAAATCATAGTCAGTAGTTTTCATATAAAAAGGACTTTAGAATACCAAGCTAAGTGGATACTATCCAATTCACACACACACACATATCTATGTGTATATATATACATATATATATAGATAAGAAGCTTACCAGGCTGCCTTGGATCAATATAGGGAAGGGAGTGAACATGCCGGTCTACAGGGCCCAATGGTCCTGATGTACTTCTTACAGATTGAGTGTCTTGTATAGAGCTGGGAACTTCCCCAGACACCTATCAATTATGAATAGGTTTGTGAGAAAATATATACCAGGAGAATAAATATAGTTGAAAGAAGCAAAAATACAGTCTCCATCCTGAACTGCATATAATTTTTCAAAATGAAGACACTATTGACGTTCAGATGACATTTTTATGTTCCTTTCAATAGACTAACAAAATGAATTGAGGAAAAGAACAAGAGCCTCGTATGAAAAGCAATGAGGAAAACATGTGCCAATGGAGCCACATATACTGGAAATATTTAGGTTTTAAGCATTGGCACTGTCCATTTTTATGTCATAAATTGCAGCTTTAGAATCTGTTATATATTATTCCAAGTGGATACATAAATATATGACAATTTTTTTCTTATTGGTAGACAAGGTAGGGGACAATGCCAACCGCCACCCCCAGGCACATGTGGAGTTCATAAAAGATATAAAAATCAAAATAACAACTTGCCAGCTGCCCATTAGTAAGAAGAGGGATTGGTTGCTGTAATTCGCGTCTACTAGATGAAGAGAGTTCAATATCGTCTCCCTGCCATTGGGATCGAGCCTTGCTCTTTCCCTGAGAATAACTAAATTCATTTTCTAAATCGTCAACATCATCCTCATCATCATCACCTTCAACTCGTGGACTCCCTAAAGGATGGATGACTAATTAGTAAGTCTGAAAACCTCCAAACATAAGGATAAAAAAGCACAAAAAATTAAAATAAAAAATAAAAGAGACTGACCCTTGTGTCTTTTGTATCTAGTCTTGCATTGGGGACATGACTGATTTCCATCTTTTCGTTCATACTCGTAACATAAACGGCAAACTGGAAAAGCGCATTCGTTGCAAGCAACAAATACATCACCATTGGCAGTCAGTCCAACGGTATCCCCACAGATCTGACATACCTGACCATTCAAGTTCTTCAAGGGCTTTGGCTGCATTATGTGCAAGCAATAAGTTGATCAAATTAAACTAAATAATTAGCACACAATTTGCTTCCTGTGTACACATGATCAAGCATATCACATATAGAGGCAGTCCATTAGATGGAATAACATAGCCACGTTGAACTACCTGCAAACTAAAAACATTCCATCGAGATGGGATTCCACCCACTGGACAAGAATCTAGCGGAAATTGTGGAAAGTAAAACTATGCACCAAAAGAGCCTAATTACTAAAACTGAGAGAAAGTTTTAGATTCGGGCTGAACCAATAAAATACATGTACTGTGTACAAAAGTGCATAGAAAATAAGATGGAAGGAAGGACCTAAATTGGAGAATTCTTGATGAAAATCCCCAAAAGCGAATTTAATAAAATCTTACGATAATACACAGCGGCAATCAGCAATCATAGTAAGATCACAGAGGTAAGAGGATTTAATACTCTTGTCACTTACAGATGCAAATTTAGTCAATCACCGACTCAAGAGCTCAGATCAAAAGAATCATAAGAACAACACACTACGTTCTCTAAATCCAACATTTATTTTATCCACCCTTACACATCATCAAGAAAAATTAATAGCAAATCCATGGATAGATACATATTTAGGTCATAACTGTGACTGACGAAGATAATAATAAAAATACCAAAAGAACAGACTCCAGCTAAACAAGATAAAACCAAAGAGTCAAAATCAAAATTAAGTAGCAAAAAAAAAAAAAAAAAACCCACTAATCTTGAGCTTATCACTCACTACTTAAACCATGACATCCATAACACAACCAAAATACTTAAAAAAAAAAAAAAAAACTATTTACACTTCAAATTGCAAATTTAGATTTGAACTTTAGCCCAAAATTCAGTTCCGCTCTACCATGCCTCAGATCTAAACACTAAATTTCAATAAACAGAAAAAATGTGAAATACTGTAAATTAGGACTGAAGATCGAAATGGATTATCACAAAAAGCATACCGCACTATCAGAGTCATGACGAATTCTAACAAGCTCGTTCCTCTTGTAGGATCCAGCCACCATTCCAGCATTTGCCTCCATTTTCTCTAAATTCCAACACTGTTATTGATATTATAATCAGTATAGAATCAGATCTGTACTATATAATGTGGGTTTAGCTTAATTGAACAAAAATCTTCAAAAAAGAAAAATTAAGGGAAATTTGAGCGTGAGAAAAGGAGGGGCATTGGTATGATTCTTATGGTCACTCAATTGGCAATCTCTTTCTCTCTCTTTCTCTTCCTCTTCTTCAATTTCATTACAGGCTCTGTCTTTTCATCATTTTCTTAGGCGATTATTTTAATAAATTTTTTTCATTTTTTAACATTAACGTAAGGATATTTTACTGGACGAACCGGTCGTCAGTCCGCGGCATATGGCATGGCTTGGCTTGGCTTTGGCTTGGGCTTGTTAATGAAGATGTGTGCTTAATAAAACTTTAATGTCCTATTTGTCTACCATTTAAAAAAAAAAATTCAAATTTATTTTAATCACACATTTTTAAAATAAAATATTTTACACATAAATTCTAAATTTTTCTTGCTTTTTAATCACGCATCCTTCAAAAATTTACTATTTTAAAACTCATTTTCATTAAAAAATGATAGAAAAACAAGGGATAAATCTTTTTAACTTTTTATTTGTTCAAATTTTAGTTTTAACCACATAATTTATGGGTTTATAATAATTATCACCTTTTTAATCAAAATCTTAACAACTTTTATCAAATATTTTGTCAAAAAAACCCTTAGGCTAAATGCGACCGTAGTTCTCGACCTATATTATCTATTTTATTTTAATTCTTATCTTATATTTCTTGATATTACTATCCCAAAATTTACGAAAATGACTCGACTACAATAAGAAAAAAATTAAAAACCAGGCTTCGTGGAAAAAATTTAGAACTCATATTCAAACAGGGCATTGAGTGAAAAACAAGGATTTTGTTGATATTCATTTTCATAGTCATGTGTATAATTTTCCTTATTAATAAAATATACACATACTACTTTTAAAAAAATAAAAATAAAAAAAATCACGTGTAATGCAACGCCACCTTAACAAAGAAAGTCAACGATTTAAATTTCAGAGACTTAGGCGCGTAAAAAAAATGTTGAGCGTGAATGCACAATAGATAATTAAAAATAAGAAAATATTACAGAAAATGTAAAAAAAAATATTTATTTATTTTTTGGAGAATGTATAATTAAAAATAAATGTGTAAAATATGTGTTTTATATACACACTTTCAAACATGGTCTAATGAAAGTACAAGTGATATATTGCATTATAAATTATGTATGTGCACTCATTTTAAGTGGGTGCAACACTTTCTAGTTTAGACCTCATGTTTATCATACGTCATTGTTTGGTTTAGATGAAAATAAATTTTTTATTAAATTTGGATTAAAAAAATGATAAAACTTATAGTTTAAAAATTGTGAATTTCGTTAAATATGTTGTTAAAATTAATTATTTATTTTAACGTAAATTTTAATCATCTTTTTTAATTGAATCAAACAGGTGCTACATTATGTCTGACTTTGCAAGAAGGTGGGGATGTTGAATTTTGATTTTTCAGACTGGAAGGGTAGAATTTCAAATTTTCTTAAAGAACGGATAGTTGTACTGCAAAGTTCCCTTATTGTAAATTACAAGCTTTCTACATGGCGTCAAGCCATTGGATTAAAAATTAAAGTCATCCAATTATAATCTGACACGCACTTATTATGCACTTCGCATTAGCAAATAGATTTTGTACAGCTCTGGCAAGTGGCTCCATGCTGTGACCAGCCTGTACTTTGTGGTTACCGGTTGTTGCCAGTTACTCTACTTCCGACAAATTATAGAGCTGTCGGCGGATTCCTTTTGTGCATTGCTTGTCTTAAAATGGACCTGGATTTCATCAAAATTACTAGTTAACCCCTACCATATTTTTCCTTATTATTAATTTATTATTCTCTCCGTTTGATTTATACATGCTTACTTTTTTTTTTTTTCCCAATTATATAGTTATATTTTTTTATTGATTTTGTTTTATTTTGTTCTTTTATTTATATACCGTTATTTAATTTGCTTAGTTATAACCAATTTTTTAGTTAATCTTAAAATTGTACAAATATAAATTATGAATATTATGGGCAAAAATTATTTTTTCAATAACATTAAACCCATGTTTGTTTCCCATTTTTAGTAAGAATACATTTTGAAATAGTTAATTAATGAAGAATGTGTGGTTAAGAAATTAAAAAAAGTTTCAGTTTTGCGTGTAATATTATTTTATTGAAGAATGTGTGGTCGAGAAAAATAGAGAAAAATATAATTTGAAAAAATAGGGTATCAAACAAGGGCTAAATAAGATTTCTTAATTCGTGTAAAAAAACAAAACAAACATACATAAATAGGACGAATGGAGTATTCAACATTGTTGTGCTTATACAAAGACTGCGTGTATGTCTCAATGGGCTATAAAATGGATCAAGCTTGATGGCGAACGATTCTTGACACTACCCATGTTTAGGAGTATCGACCCTCGCTTGACATGGTAAAAAAAAGTGTGTTTAATGCAACCTAAGTGATAGTGGTGCCACATAAATCAATTTGTAATCATGAAGTCGGGCTTGTACATGAAAGCTAAGTTGGAAGGCTGCTTCATTTCAGATAGTCTAGCAAAATCAGCAATGTCGAGTTCCTTCCTTTCGCCAATACACTAGACCAGCACCAATGGTTAGGACATCATTTTTTCATGTCAAAAACATCTTAAAGTCAACCTGCCACGAGCTCACATGAGCTAAGTTTATGCACGAATGCACCTTCTATGTTGGGCTTAACTAGGCCCAAGATAAACATGAGGTACGACTCTGGCACTAGATAAACACCGAACAAGAGTCCCGTTTTGCTCCTATTATCTGATGTTATAATTTTTGAAATAGTATTTTGTGGGAGAATGTGTAATTAGAAAAGAAGATTTTATTTATTTATTTATATGTAATATTATTTCATTGAAAAATATGTAGTTAAAAATAAGAGAGAAAAATGTATTATAAATTTAATTGGACTCAAACGGGGGCAAAATCTAGACATTGTTAGTCAACGTTAAGCCACATTACTTTCCATTATTTTTTATACACTATTCATTTTCAACCACACATTTTCATTAAAATAATAGTACGCGCAAGCAAAAATTTTCCTTCCTTTTTAATCACACATTTCCTATCAATTTACCATTTCATAATACATTATACAAGAAATTAATAGGTCTCAAACAGGATCTAAAACATAAATAAATAAGTAAATTCATTGATAGCCATCAATCATAAAAGCGAGCTCATTTTCTAAATTTAAATCTGTGCAACCATTTGTATTGTTTCGAGTGTTCGACCTGTTAGTTCAACCAGCCATCCAATAACTATCTTGTTTGGGTAGGTGCTCGAGTCAATTTTTATAACTACGTCGATAAAAACAGTGTTATATATGTAAATAATTTGATGACTTAACCTAATATAAATTTTCCCTCCGTTTGGCTTCTTTGTTTGAAATTTTAATGGTTGAAATAGTGTCCTTTTGAAAAATAATGATTAAGAAAGAAGAAAATTTTTTGAGATTACGTGTAATATCATTTTATTGAATAATGTGTTGTTATAAAAAGAGAAAAAATGAATTATAATTTTAATGGGAGAGGAAAAAGGGCTTCCAAATGTCAACTAACGACACA